GTTCAGTTCTAGTTCAGTTCTAGTTCAGTTCTAGTTCAGTTCTAGTTCAGGTCTAGTTCAGTTCTAGTTCAGTTCTAGTTCAGTTCTAGTTCAGTTCTAGTTCAGTTCTAGTTCAGTTCTAGTTCAGTTCTAGTTCAGTTCTAGTTCAGTTCTAGTTCAGTTCTAGTTCAGTTCTAGTTCAGTTCTAGTTCAGTTCTAGTTCAGTTCTAGTTCAGTTCTAGTTCAGTTCTAGTTCAGTTCTAGTTCAGTTCTAGTTTCAGTTCTAGTTCAGTTCTAGTCATTCTATCAGTTCTAGTTCAGTTCTAGTTCAGTTCTAGTTCAGTTCTAGTTCAGTTCTAGTTCAGTTCTAGTTCAGTCTGTCAGTTCTAGTTCAGTTCTAGTTCAGTTCTAGTTCAGTTCTAGTTCAGTTCTAGTTCAGTTCTAGTTCAGTTCTAGTCAGTTCTAGGTTCTAGTTCATTCTAGTTCAGTTCTAGTTCAGTTCTAGTTCAGTTCTAGTTCAGTTCTAGTTCAGTGTCTAGTTCAGTTCTAGTCAGTTCTAGTTCAGTTCTAGTTCAGTTTCTAGTTCAGTTCTAGTTCAGTTCTAGTTCAGTTCTAGTTCAGTTTCTAGTTCAGTTCTAGTTCAGTTCTAGTTCAGTTCTAGTTCAGTTATCGTTCAGTTTAGTTCAGTTCTAGTTCAGTTCTAGTTCAGTTCTAGTTCAGTTCCAGTTCAGTTCAGTTCAAGTTCAGTATAGTTCATTTCTAGTTCAGTTCTAGTTCAGTTCTAGTTCAGTTCTAGTTCAGTTCTAGTTCAGTTCTAGTTCAGTTCTTGTTCAGTTCTTGTTCAGTTCTTGTTCAGTTCTTGTTCAGTTCTTGTTCAGTTCTTGTTCAGTTCTTGTTCAGTTCTTGTTCAGTTCTAGTTCAGTTCTAGTTCTTGTTCAGTTGGAGTCCTACAATAGCGTATTCTTTGTACTATAGAATAGTCTATAGTCAGGATTATAGAGTAGTCTACATTTTTGACTTTATAGTCCCGACAGTTCTTTATTGCTTACAGTGCTTAACTACTTCTACGTATTGCGAAAGGTAAGCAGTTCTTGTTTTGTAATAAAAATATCTTGTTACAAGACTCTTGCATGATTTTGTTTCTTACAATCAGCGGTGTCTGTCATTAAAAAAGGGAAAATTTAGTATTACTTGTAGAAAGTTTTGTAATATTTTGTTCCCACTAAATACATAAAGTACAGGGTTACTGCTCCCAATATGACTCTCTTTAATAACGAAAAATAATCCTTAGAATACAAATGGGTGTGGTCCATTTACAATAAACAGAAAAAAAAAAAAACAGAAAAAAGTACAAAAAATTGTGTTCCTATAAGATGAACGAAACAAACAGAAAAACAAACAACACAAAAACAAATACCTTAATATCCTTTTTTTATATTTATTATGATTATAATAATTTTCAAAGTTTTATTAAAACACATTCAATGAAAAACAAAGTGTGTGTTGGTTGATGTTTTGGTTTGTTGTGTATATTTTTAAAAACATATTAAATGTTAAATACTCATTTTTACCCCATGTACCCTAATATTAAGGACTTTCATTAGACCTATACTTTTAAAGTCACAATGCCAGCTTGTTTGCTACTACTACTACTACAACAGCAACTGTTACTACTACTTTTCCTGTGGTAAGGATATGTATGTTGTATGGAAACCATAATATGTTATACACATTCATTATGATGAAATTCTACCCACTACCAACTCCAACTTCAATTTATTGTTCTTGTTTATATGTATATGAAATTGTGTATATATTTATTTTTTTGCTTGTTCCTTTTCGTTACAATGTTCTAGTACTCCGTATATATTCCCTATTCCTGATTTATTATGTCTCATTTTTGTGTTTGCCCATTATAAAACTTTCCCATATTGTTTTATCCTGTTTTAACGATTTTAGACATATTTGCGCATGCTTTTGTGCAAAATACAAACAAAAAAGTACCAAACCATGAGTGTAATACCTAATAGTAGTAGTAGTAGTAGCAGGATAAATATTGTATAGAATTAAAAAAGGCCAAAAAGGATAAGAAAACATGGAATACATATTTATAAAGAGTATAACAAACCATGACCATGCCAAAAGTTTGAAATATTGGTATAAATTGAAAATTTCACTGAATTGTAAAGAAGTGAAACACAAGCCAAACAACAGCCACCACTAAAAGTTCATTCGATATCATGTTTATTGAAATGGAAATAATTTCGTTATTATTGTTGTTGCTGTTGTCTTCGTCGGTTCATAGTATATTATACATAAATTGTACATTAGGATGGTGCCGTTAGAGTTCCTTACGAAAATTAAAACAGCTCGCAAAATAGTTCATATTTGGTAAGCTGGGTCAAGGGTTAAAAAGTTCCTTTTTTAGGTTTTTGCATTTTTTTCGAGTTTCACATATGAATGTATATTTTTTCAGGATCCTTATAGATTAGACATGCTTTCGAGATTATCACTATTTAAAATCAGAAAAATCGGTCCATATATAATGGATATATAAGCAGTAACAACATGTTTCCTATGAAGCTGTATATTGTTATTGTTTTGTTAGTAACAATATCAGAGATGGAAAATTGAGAGTGAAAAAATTTTGAAAAATAAAATATGCTAATGGGGTGTTACTTTTAATTCTCGTACCAAGGTCTATTTTGTTTGGTACTTTTTCGTTTAAATGATACTTTTTGAGTTATCTATAATATAGAACATAAAAACATGATAGTAAGCATGTAGAGGCCGGAGTAAATGAAAACCTATAAGAGCGGACTTTTTGGTACTTTTTCTTTTTTCAAAAGGTACTTTTTGAATTTCGTATAATTTTAAACATAGAGACATAAAATTTAACATTCAGAATCCGGAGTGAATGAAAATGTGTTAGGAAATTATTTCTGATACTTTTTCGTTTTCAACTGGTACATTTTGGTTTTTATGATGGAATGAAAATCTATAGAAGTGAATATATTGGTACTTTTTCGTTCTTCTACTGGTACTTTTTTGGAATCTTTTATGAAATACTAATATGACATACTGATTGAATCAAAAAGTATAAATGCGGAGTTTCTGGTACTTTCTCATCTTTGATACTTTTTTGATTTTCTGAATCATTGAAACTTGAAACATAAAATCAGACATATACGATCCTGATAGAATGATAATCTATAGAAGTGAATATTTTGGTACTTTTAAGTTCTTCAAGAGGTACTTTTTCAATGTTTTTTTTAACATGAAACTAGAAACGCAAAATGAAAAAGTGTAGTTTCTGGTACTTTTTCGTCAATCAATTAGTACTTTTTATACCCTACACTACGATAGTGGGAAGGGTATTATGCGTTTGTGCACCCACCTTTAAATACACCGATCGACTCAGAACCACTTTCATATCGTCGGCCATGCCCGATAATACTTTCCTACTTGTTTGAACAATGAAATATAAAATCAAACTAGCTCAGGATCATCCTGATGGAATGAAAATCTATAGAAGTGATTATTTTTGGTACTTTTTCGTTCTTCAACTGGTACTTTTTGAATCTTTTATAATCACCCCTATCGCCAATAAAAGTGAATTTTTTGTTCCCTTGAAATTTTCATTCCCCTCATAGGGAAAATTGCTATCGTTAACTTGTTGTGAACAATTCATTCACAATAGTTGAATTGTATGTAACAGCTGTTCAATGTTTACAAAATTCCATCAACAAATTTCACAACAGTGGAATTTTTTTTTTTCACGACAAAAAAGTTAGTGAACGAAAAAAGTGTAAATGGAACATATTTCACGTGAAATGTTGATTTGACGATAGGGGTGAATATTAATTGCAATCTGGGAGGAAAAGAGGACCAGTATTTCTAGTCTGGACTAGAGGGTCAAATATATACCCTGGCCTATCCTTAGAATGATTTGACCTGTGGTCGAATCAAAGAGCCATATAATGTGGTACCTATCCTTGGAATGATTTGACCTGTTATCGAACCAAAGAGCCATATAATGTGGTACCAAGGGAAGAGTTAGCTCGCAGGGCAGAGTTTCGAACTTGCTCTTATCCCGTTTATTGGAGTGGGAGAAGAATGTTGTTTAAAACACTGATACATGACATCTATATTTCGGGATAAGTTTAGAACCTTTTTATCCTTTAATCTAGCTCACCATATATAGACGTTAGAATAAAAATGTTGACAAATATTGTGGCAGAATGAACCAGATTTTAATTTTTTAAAATTTCCATTTTGGAGCCAACCTAATGTATTGTTGTTATTTTATCCTTGTCATCATTGTTTGGATTCAGGGAAAGCAAAAATTTATACACAAACTTATGCCACACTACACTGCACTATACTCTTTACACTTCTTGTTCTTGTTGTTGTTATGCATTTGTTGTACATTTATTTATAAGTATATATGTATACAATTTTTCGAAATTGTTGTTTTTTTTACCAAATAGTTAAACTTGAAATATTTTCGTGGTTTTTTCAACGTTCAGCCACTAAAGTTTGGTTGCCATTTTCCATTCCTGCCTCAACACACTTTATCATCATTATTTATAATAAAAATTTAATTTATTTATTAACTTCAATTTGTTTCAGAAGTTCAATATTAAATGTGGTCATTTATAGGTTTAAAGGAATTGTGTTACGTTATAACA